TAACCCAAGACGAAACTGAGGTATCGTTTATCTCGGTCATTAAGATTCTCATATAACAGAACTGAATTTTCTATTTAATTTTTGTGCTTATAAATTTATGAAAAGAACATATTCACTAAATTCTATGGATTATTGATGGATAGGTAAAATCAGAAACTAAGGAAGAAAAGAATGAGACTTTAAAGATTCAAAATGAAATTAGAATGAAAGATTCCGCTGAAGTTTCTGAAAATGAGTCTGAAGAAGATAAACAAGATAAAGTATCAAAAAAGAAGCTAAAAAAAATGAATAGATTAAGTGTCGCCCAATTAAAGCAATTGGTTAAGAGACCGGAAGTTGTTGAGGTATGTAATATTAATTTTTCTCTTTTTATATTATATAAATTTCAAATATACTAATAAATATTACTTCACAAAAAAGTGGGTTGATGTAACAGCCGCGGATCCAAAACTTCTAGTTAGCCTCAAAGCTTATAGAAATACGGTACCCGTTCCTCAACATTGGTCTCAAAAAAGAAAATACCTTCAAGGAAAAAGAGGAATTGAGAAACCAGCTTTCGATCTACCTGGTATTACATTTACAATACACATTTAGCTTCTTTCAGATATAAATATATCCCTAATTTTTTGTTATTTTTTGCAACTTGTAAAGATTTTATCAAGGATACTGGCATTATGGAAATGCGTGAAGCAGTTAAAGAAAAAGAAGATGCTGCAAAATTGAAACAAAAAACTCGTGAGCGTGTCCAACCAAAAATGGGTAAACTAGACATTGATTATCAAAAACTGCACGATGCATTTTTCAGATTTCAATCCAAACCTAAATTGACAATTCATGGAGAATTGTGAGTCATTCAAGTCTGATTTTCATTTGACTTATTAGTTTTCATCAGCACATCTGTTAAATATAAATATTTTTTTAAGATACTACGAAGGGAAAGAATTTGAGACTAAACTCAAAGAAAAAAAGCCAGGTCAACTTTCAGAAGAGCTTAAAGCTGCCTTGAATATGCCTCCTCTTGCCCCCCCTCCATGGCTAATCGCAATGCAGAGATATGGTCCACCACCTAGTTATCCTAATTTAAAAATTCCCGGATTGAATTCTCCTATTCCGGAAGGGTATATACATCGAAATACTCTTAATCATATTTCATAATATAATATAATTAAAAATTCATATTCTATATGATTTTTTAATATAATCTTAGTGCTCAATGGGGATTTCATCCAGGTGGATGGGGAAAACCTCCGGTAGATGAGGTAAACGTTTTTACAATTTTTGCAAAATAGTAGAACAGTTGTATAAAGATTTTAATCTAATTTGTGTATATATAGTACAATCGTCCACTATATGGTGATGTTTTTGGAACATATCAACAAGAAATCCCCTCAGATGTAAGCTTTTTTACTTTACTTCTTCACATACTGTTTATATATACTATATATATAGTTATATTTGTAACTTAAAATTCGGCATTGTAGATTGTCCAGCCAATTGAGCGGTCACTATGGGGTGAATTAGAAGCAGAAGAAGGTGGTAAGTAATATCCATTTGAAAAATTAATTATATATCGCAATTTAATTTATTTAAATATAAATATATAAATATTAGAATCAGATGAAGAAGAGGAAGCAGAGGAGGAAGAAGAAATTGGAGAGGATGAAAGTTCATCAACGAAAGCATTACAAGAAGGTCTTGCCACGCCGAGTGGAATATCTAGTGTACCTAGTGGTTTAGAAACACCAGAATATATAGAACTAAGAAAATTCCAAGCTAGTACAGCAACACAACAATCGTCTGCATTGCCTAGCGGGTTAGAGACACCAGATATTATTGAATTAAGGAAATATTCAAAGTATGGGTATAATTTTATTAATACTAAACTTTTAATTGCAAAATTATTGATTGTATATTGGTTGATTTTATATTAGAACCGACGAAGACGAACCAAAACCTTTATACACAGTGCTTCCACAAAAAGATACGAATATTGCCGGCTTTATGGGATCACAACATGCTTATGATTTATCTGCTGCTGCAACAACTGGAGGTGTTAAAGGCGCAAAGGTAATTGAATTTTACTAAAAAAAACTTTTTAAAGATAAATTTAAATGTTATTAATTAAATTGATTTAATCCCCTATTAAATATACATATCTTATAGCGAAAAGTTGTTGGAGCTGGTATCGATGTAGCACTCGACCCTTCAGAAATGGCAAATCTAGATGAAGAAACATTAAGGGCTATATTTGAAGAAGCACAGCAGGTTTATATCATATTTAAAATTGTATTTTCTACACTCTTAACAATTATTTACTAATATTCTATGTTTTAGGCGAATAAACCTGAAGGTTCACGTGAAGACTTTTCAGATTTGGTCGCTGAACATGCTAGTAAACAAGCAAAAAAGAGACAAAAACTAGCAGATGCGAAAGCTGCTGCAAGAGATGCTGGTTCTGGTGGGAGTTCGGCAACTAAGAAATATAAAGATTTCAAATTTTAAACTTTATTTTCTTTTATATTGGTAAGTTTCGAGTAAAATGATTAAAATCAAATAGAGCTTCTTCATTTAAAAATTATTATTTAACGTAGTTAATGCTGGTGATCTTTCAAATGTGTTTTTAGTTTGAATAAAGTGTCAACAAACAAATCCTCAAAAATTAGTGTTTATATATTACTTGTTACACTACTGTTACTAACTTTAATTTATTATCTAAAGTCCGGGTCCTGTTTTATGCCTAAATGGCGGTACACATTCTCTTCTAATTGATCGACACACAGATTATTAATGTGGAAGATGAGTCAACATACTTTAAAGTGGTAAAGTATTTATTTTTCCTAATTATTTTATTATATCGATGTAATATTCATCACTTATGATTATTATTTTAATTGTAAAAAATAAAAAATAACATCAAATTCCTTAACATCAAATTTTAGTTAATCATATAGAATAGTTTATAATGGATACTTTATTTAAAAGTCATTAATTGCTAAGGTTGTTAATAATTTGATTATTGACTTTAAATGGCAAGTTTTAACATTTGTTTGATAATAATTATACCTTGACAATCATGTTCTAGATTGTGGTATAATACATTATATGTACGAACGCTTATTCAGGCAATAAGATCATGCTCTAAGGTCCATTTGAATTGACCATATCACACGCCTATCCTAATACACGTACAGTACAGCATATGTTGTTTATATATATATATATACAAATATAATATTAATACTTCGTACCGGCGGCTTATAATGCAACTTACAGTACAATAACTTTTTACTAAATAAATAGAATGTTTTAGTACTGTGAAGAATAATATTTAAATTTTTTATGCTGAAGCTTAAGTTCGGTTGTGATCAGGAACACGGAAAAATTTGATTCAATTTTGCCAAATATCTGGGCATTTATTGCACTTATTAGGGATGCATCGCAATATCATCAATTCTACCAGAACAAAGTTACGCATGCCTACTAACCCTAATTGCTTAGTTATATAATTTTAAGCAATACGTATAAACTTCTCAAATGGTATAACCTAGTTCTTCAGGTAATTTTCAAATATCGGTTCAATCTTTTTTTATTTGCTGTTTCCAACATTTAGAACTATATATTAATAAATATATATACTATTTACATCAGCCAATTAGGCAAATGTTTGTTCTCGTCAAACTTGCAACGAAGTTTTTGATGATTGGCCTGAATTAAAATCTAAATTTATGAGATTTTCGAAACCAAGCCGGCTTAGCCGCTAAGCCAGTCGATGTAATATGATCGGCTGGCTAATGCGGCTAAAGACCTCATAATTTATGAACATAAAATACGAACTGAACTTCGAAAATTTTTAGATTGCTAGTTAACGTTGGCTAAGCCAGCTGACTAAAACCGTATGGCTTAAATCACTACTAACTTACAATTCGGAATAATCTCAAGTCAAAATAACCGTGTTTACCTTTGAAAATAAAGTAAGAAACAAAGTTAGGGTAGTGACAAATATTGCGTAATATCCTGAGGGGGGAGGGGGGTCTTGGATATCTTATGTTAGAAGAAATTTATAAACTAGCCAACCAAATTTCTCTTACGTGGGTGGGAGGGGACTTTACTTATTTGTGCCGGTTACACAAACCAAAAAAGGAAAAACATAGGAAAACGGAGTAAATTTTAAGTTTATTAAATATTAGGGTTAGGGTTAGGACCTGTGTTAGGGTTAGTGTTAGGGTTATGAGTTCTATAGGTAAAATTACCTCCCCGGCATTTTTTTTAAATAAAAAAAGTAGATTTAGACTGCCGTTTCTTGTATTTTCTTCATTTTTCTCTTTTTTTTGTTTGTTTTGCTTTGTCGGGTTGACCCGGTTTCTACGTCGGGCTGATCCAGGATACCCAAAATTTCCTTTTTAGGGGCTTGTATTACCGGCACAAATAAGTAAAGCCATGGGAGGGGGTAGGTATAGTAAAAAAATATTACGTAATATTTGTCATCACTCTTATTTTGCAAACATATTTAGAACTTATAAAAAAAGATTTTGAGCAATTAAAAATAATTTATTGGGTATCTTTATAAAAAAAAATTAGATATGATATTTAATTTTTTTTTTTATATTAATACTGTATATTAATAAAAAATTAGTATTATTTATTTTTTGAAAAAGTAAAAATTATAGTTAAGATTACAGCATGTAAAATGGCCCAAAAAGCTATTCTAAAGAATATAATTATTGGTAATTTTAAATATAATTTTTTTTAAAAAAATAAATAAATAAATTTTAAAAGTGTGTTAATAAATATTTATTTAATTACAGTATATATTATTATAATTTAATATGAGTAGCAAGAGGTGTCCTTGTATAAAAAATCTTGGTGAAGTGTAGTTTACCCAGCTTCATCAACGAAGCTTCTAGGTTATTACTTCAAAGAAGAATATAGGGGAAACAACAAAATATATGTTTTTCTCAAGCCGTATTCCTTTTTTTATCAAGTGGTTTTTTTTTTTTTTTTCTTGTCTTGTTGTTAGTTTTTTTAAAAATTTTCAACAAAAAGTAAGGATTTGGCTTATCTTTTTAAAAGATTAGCATTGTTTATTTTTCAAATTTGAACAGTTTAGTAGAATGCAACTATGTGTTTGTTTATGAACAGATATGGCACTACTTCACAGGACTTGATTCAAGAACTTTAATTATGGTAGTAGGTAGCTTAAGATATAGGTTTTTAAACAGTGATAGCATTTGGCTTAAGATACAAATTGGAACAGAAAATGTAGCTATCCAAAGTCAATAAGAAGATCGAAAAGTAAATAGAAAATTCAGTTCTGTTATATGAGAATCTTAATGACCGAGATAAACGATACCTCAGTTTCGTCTTGGGTTA